GGTTCAGCAACAACAACACCAATAAGTTTTGTGACTTGCTTGGCATCCATAAGAACTTCTCATCTGTAGTGTATCCCCAATCCAACGGACAAGTCAAATCAGTTAACAAAACCATCAAAGTGACATTGAAACAACAGCTCGATCGTTACAAAGGCAAATGGGCAAACGAATTACTGAAGGTTTTATGGCATACCGGATGACGATCAGAACAACAACAGGTGAAACGCTATTCTTAATTGCTTATGGAGCTAAGGCTATGCTACCCGTCGAGGTCTCTTTCCCCACCAGCCGCGTGACGCAAGACAATGAGGCCAAGAACCGGGAACGAATGGGACTAGAGCTCGATTTGCTGGAAGAAAAGTGCACAGACGCACGACTGTGGCTCGCAGCATACCAGGCTAGGGTTGCTCGTTGCTACAACCGAAAGGTTAAACAAAGAAAATTCAAAATGGGAGACCTCATTCTTAAGGTTGTGACCTCAAATACCAAGCCTAAGAACTCTGGAGCCTTGAGGCTAACTTGAGAAAGTCCTTACAAAGTTAGAGAAATCGTGGCAAACGGGTTATATCGACTAACAGAGCTGAATGGTCGAGATATAAAGCATACGTAGAACGCCGACCAGTTGAAAGCCTACTACCAATAGTCAAGGCTATAGTTCGACAGCTATGTAGGTAGGTATAGAAGTTAGTGTTAGAAGTTTATTTGGTTTTATTTGTATCTTTTTGCAGGCCTAGAAGCCTCGACTTGTAAAAATTCTACATTATTAATAAAATTCAAGATTGATTCTACTCAATATTCGACTACTTCTTGTTTTGGATTATTTCCTATATCGACAATTGTTATTTATTGACGACTATTATAAACTATCAAAGACATGTCTGAAACTTGTCTTTGACAAGGGGCAATAAGGCCAAGGCCATTCCCATAAAAATAACTCGACACAACGAGCATTAAGAATATAGCTCGACACGACAAGCATAAGGTGTTAAGGCAAGCCTTGGCATGCTAAACACTTACCGAAAAATTTGTTTAAATTGAATTTTGCAATTATCATGCAAGCGTTGAGAATTAAGACAAGTCTACAATTAAAATATACATCCACAAGGCAGTGTAAAAAAACAAGCATATTATAAAAAATATATATGTTTCGACCTTATGGCCATTACAAAATGAAAATTGTCTTGGCCTTAAGGCCATTATAAACACAAAAAGAAAAAAAAAATTCCAATTACTGCTCGCCGCCATCCCCAGCGTCTCCACCTCTCGGCGCCTGTTTGCCTCCGTCTGTTGGCTAGGCTTCCTCCCCTTCATCCTTATAAGACTCATCGAGGAAAGAGAGGTCGATCTCCGGATGCTTCTTCTTGAAGCGGTCAAGAATTTGACTTCCAGTAGCTTCCATGAGGGACAGCTAGAGGTCCTCAAACTCCAAAGATTTCTTGTAAGCCTCTAGTCGATCATCGACGAGGCGGTTGAACTCATCAGAGGCAGTGTAAGCCTCCAGTCGAGCAGCGACAAGGCGGTTGAACTCATCGGAGGCTGTAAATTCTTCGACCACTTCCTACTTCTTTTGCTTAAAGCTAAGAGAGGCCAGATACGCGTCGACAACCTGAGAACTCTCCTCGGAAAAGCCCAGTTTGTAGCTCTCCTCCTTAGCCAAAGAGATCGACGCTGACATATCCCTCTTTACCTCTTCGATTCTGTCCCCAGTATCTCCACCTCGCGACGCATGTTTGCCTCTGTCTGTTGGCTCGGCTTCCTCCCCTTCATCTTCATCAGACTCGTCGAGGAAAGAGAGGTCGATCTCCGGATGCTTCTTCTTGAAGCGGTCAAGAATTTGACTTTCAGCAGCTTCCATGAGGGACAGCTGGAGGTCCTCAAACTCTAAAGATTTCTTGTAAGCCTCCAGTCGATCATCGACGAGGCGATTGAACTCATCAGAGGCAGTGTAAGCCTCCAGTCGAGCAACGACAAGGCGATTGAACTCATCAGAGGCTGTAAATTCCTCGACCACTTCCCACTTCTTTTGCTTAAAGCTAGGAGAGGCTAGATACGCGTCGACAGCTTGAGAAATCCCCTCGGAAAAGCCCAGTTTGTAGCTCTCCTCCTTAGCCGAAGAGATCGACGCCGACATATCCCTCTTTACCTCCTCAATCATGTCCCCGGTGTCTCCACCTCGCGACGCCTGTTTGCCTATGTCTGTTGGCTCGGCTTCCTCCCCTTCATCTTCATCATACTCGTCGAGGAAGGAGAAGTCGATCTCCGGATGCTTCTTCTTGAAGCGGTCAAGAATTTGACTTTCGGCAGCTTCCATGAGGGACAGCTGGAGGTCCTCAAACTCTGAAGATTTCTTGTAAGCCTCTAGTCGATCATCGACGAGGCGGTTGAACTCATCAGAGGCAGTGTAAGCTTCCAGTCGAGCAGCGACAAGGCGGTTGAACTCATCGGAGGCTGTAAATTCCTCGACCACTTCCCACTTCTTTTGCTCAAAGCTAGGAGAGGCCAGATACGCGTCGACAGCCTGAGAACTCCCTTCGGAAAAGCCCAGTTTGTAGCTCTCCTCCTTAGCAGAAGAGATCGACGCCAACATCTCCCTCTTTACCTCCTCAATCCTGTCCTCCAGAGACCGAACCTTACCTTTCTCGAGCTCAAGGGCTTCCTCAAGCTCGTGTCGTCGTCAATGAGTGCGAAGGGTGTGGAGCTCTTCCTCAGAGACCTTGTTCGAGGTATCCTTCTTGAGAAGAGCCTCGAGCTCCAAGTAGTTTAGGAGCGTCACCTCAAGAGCCTACAAAGATAAAAAGAAGTTAGCAACGTATTGGACCTGTAGGACTCGAGGAATGAGTTTGAGGAACGTACAGAAATTTAGCGCATAACGGCAATCCGTTGGCGCTCTAAGAGGTCCATCCTAGCGAGCCTATCCCAAGAGTCCTTATGAAAGTACGTATAAATAGCCTGGAAAGGTAGGCTGAAGCAAGGAGGAAGACAGATGGCCTGACTGATGAAGTTGTCAGGGACTTCTAGCACCAAGAATTGAGGATCTATAACTCTCGACGCTGGGAGCAACAAAGGCCCCTCAAGGGTTGGTAGAAGAGCGAGGTTGGCAACAACCTCGGCGTCCTTGCCCTTGTCAAGCTGCCACGAGCTCCCAGAAGCCCCCTTGATCGCGATCGCTCCTGGATTCTCACTCACCCACAGCCTTTTCGACATGGGAGTGATGACCATTCTCGACCGTTACCTAACATCTAGGACATCTTGAAAAGTCGACTTACTTGTCGACTTTGTGGAGCCAGAGCGCTTGCTTTTCTTCTGCTTGCTAGGCAGAGTATACTTCATTTTCGATGCTGGGCCTGCCAAAACAACTACAATGTCAGCCTCGACGCAAGAGAAAAAGTTGATAGATCGACTGTAATCAATAAAAATACATTCGGAGTTACCTTGGAGGAGTTCTGGTGGTGGCATAATTGGCAGTGAAAGACGAGGAAGGTCGACTTGCAGACCGTACAACCTTTGGTTCTCAGGACTATTGAGAACGGAAGAGCTGCGATTGGAGTCGGGGAGTGCAAGGATCTGTTCAACCCTTCCTAATGCGGTCCCGAAAAGCTTTGGCCGCGGGGGAACTTAGCCTGCACCAAAGAAAGTAACAATGAGAAGACCGCTCGACTCATCGGTAAAACTTATTAAACCTAAGTCAAGCAAGCAAAAACCTAAAATATTTGCTGAAGATGGTCTGCGTCCCAAGAGGACACTCGCCGTCAAGCGTATGGAGTTAAAATCGCCACCAAGAAAGAAAAACTGGGACTTCCATCCATGGGAGCTAGAAGTCTTCTCGATGACAATGGGTGGAACTAGCAGATTGGACTTGGAATGAGAGGCCAAATAAAAGAAGCTGGTTTGGCCTGGAGAACCCCGAAGGGTGTAGCAATACAAAAACTCTTTGACACTGATGTCGAGGTTTAGATATTTTCTCCATAAAATAATCATAGAGTTGATTGTCACCCAGCAATTGGGTAACAGTTGGGTTGGAAAAATCCTATGAAGACCACAAAGGGCCTTCCAAAGGAATGGAAGGGAATGGTTTGTCCAAGAGTTAAGGACCGAGTAAAGACAGTCATATGGCCAGGGGGTGGATTATGCGTCATAGCGTTCCGCGTCGGGATGAGGAAATAGAAATGGTGGGCATTGATTTTTGCGTCACTGAAAGCCGCCATGGCGGCCTTGGGTTTAATCTTTGATGGGTTCACATCCGTGACCATACTCGAAAGCTCACCAGTCGGCAACACACCATAACCTTGACCGACAAGCCCTTCGTCAATCAAGATTGGTCCTTCCTGCTGAGAGGTCGATGTAGATACATCCGCATAATCTTCTACTTGACAAAGAAGAGAGTCTTCACTGTCGATGGAAGCCACACTCGACGTCACAGCTTCAGCATCATCTTCTCTTACCCTAGAGCTGAAAACCTCTCGACTGCTAACTCTTTCAGGCATCATATTCTGAAGAAAAAAAAGGGAACAAATCAAAGCCCTAATCGTCGAGAGGTTATACTAATTAACATCACGTCATATCCATGGAGGCATAGACATATCAAAGCTTATCATGGAAAGGCCGCAAACGACGAGCAGTCACAAACACCATTCGAAAGAAAAAGAGTTGTGAATTCAGATTGAAAAGGTCCAAAGTTCTGGTATTCTCAATACCGAACTTAAAATAAAACCCAGAAATGGGTTCAAAACCCAAAAATGGGTTCAAAACCTAGCAATGGGTTTGAAAACCCAGAAATGGGTTATGTAAACCCCAAAACGAACAAGAACCCATAAAGGTTTACCAAAAACTGGGAAAGCTTACGAGTTTCAATCTGAATAGGAAGAGTGTATCTTCGGTTTTAACGTAGTTTTTTGCAAGAATGAAAACTTAAAGTTCAAAATACTCGGAAGAAAAAAAAGAAGAGAAGTTTGGGAAAACTCACCAATTCTTGAAGTTGGAAGTCTGAAGTCACAGAGATGTTGAGAAAGAAGTACGACAGAAATGCGCGAAGATCGGAGCTGAAGAATAAGTTCTTGAGAAGATCTTAAGGCTCGGGGCGAAAATCCGACAAAATAACAGCAGATTTTGGGAATAAATGGCCAAAAACCATTTTGAGGGAGTGCTTATAAGGCAAAAGAAAAGCCCAGAGGCCTCCAAATCTCAACCGTCGAATCCAAAATGTGCCCATCCAACGGTGTATCCGAAGAAACGCGATCTGACGACCCAAAAAAGTGCGGGAGAAATGAAATTTGATCCAACAATTGAAATTTAGTTCTCAACTAACACGTGTCATAGCAGATCAGCCGATGCGACTATTGACATGATCGACATGACTGCTCCACTACCCAAGAATTCAGCTGCAATGATGGTACTGTTTGGGAAAAGTAACCGCCAAGCCTTCCAAGGACAGAATTGCCACGTGGACCTCTCGACGTACCATAGCTTGCAACATCACGACGTAATATTCTAAGCTGGGAGCAATTGTTGCACCATGGTCGAGCAATCAGACCATCCCTTTGGGTCGCATGCGTCAAGAGCTCCAGAAGCTAGGGGTTGATCCCTAATGTCAAGAGCTAACAGCTAAGGAGATGTCCCTAAGTTGAGGAGAGCTCCTAAAGATAAGGCGTTCAAGTTGAAAAGTTCTTAAAAGCCTTTGAGGGTCTTGGCGTCAAGAAGTCAACAGAATCAAAGAAACGACCAGAGGATCAGATTCAAATCCAATCCCGCCAAATCAAGAAAAGATAAACCTCATCAAAAATCTGAATTCAAACTGAAAGATCAAATAACGATCAACGAAAAAAATTCCCCACATTCGGATATTCAAATAAAAGTATATCTAAAGAATCCCTTAATTAAAGGAGATAAAGGAATTATCATAAAAAAAAATTAGGGATAAGAGTTTCTATGTTCAAGAGAGCCTATAAAAAGGGTTGAACTCCTCATCTGATTTTTTAAGCATATTTTCCCTACTGAGAGAGAAATTATAACTCTGAGAATTAGTGCATCCACAAGTGGATGTAGGCAAAGAGTTTATGTCAAACCGCTATAAATTTTTGTGTCTTCTTTATTTTCAACATTTAATTATTCAATTAATTCGTGAGTGTTACTACGCGAGTGTTTCCAAAAAGGTCAAATCCCGAATTGACGAATTTTCACCGTCAACAAAGACAAAGAAAACAAAAAAGTTCAAGAGTTAAATTTACATGATTAGGCCTGGCAGTTAACATGGAGAGTTCAACACGGTTTTTCATGGAGAATTCTTTTGTAGGCTATTGAAAAATAACCTACCAGTAAGAAATAATTTTTTATCAAATTCATTCATTGTCATATTTTATTTAATCTAACATCATTTGACATTAAAACTCTGCTACCAACATAGTACTTTTTCATACCCTATCACAAAATTCTCATTTAATCTCTGGAAAACAAGGATCACTTTAACGGAGCAATTTTGGCTATGAAAAGTAACTAAAGGCATTATAACATGAAAATTACCAGTTAAACAAGCAAGGACTAAGAATAAAAAGTGTTCCTTAGGAAGCCAAATGATCCACCTATAGAGTTTTGTGGTATTTCAAACCTTTAAGAGATATCAAATGTGCAGTAAAACCTCTTGGTTGCGCTTTATTAAGGTACACCCACGTTAGCTTTTGAATTAACAAATGTGAAATTGAAAAGTAAGAATCAAAAGATAAAGAGACATTTACCTTTCATGCTCCCACGAGTAATGAGCCGGTTAAGAAAATTACAGAACCCAGTCAGGATAAGGTTTTCCTGCTCTGCATAAAGCTCGGTGTAGCTGCTCCCACTAGATGGGTTTTTATTTATGTTTTCACTTTGTGTTATACCTCCATTAGGCAATCCAGCTGCCAAAAACATTGTGTCTTTTTCATCACACATCAATGCAAGTGTTCCTGGAGACATCGGCTCATCGCTTTGTGCATTACATGCATCTAACCTAGAATCACTTGTGCCATCTTTATCTGCTTGCTTCTCTTCCAATGGATTGGAACGAACAGCATCATGAACACCATTCTCTTCTTGACTTTCTCCTCTCCCTTGTGTGGGTGAAGCAACTGAAGATTTATTTCTACTTTCTGTAGATATTAAACTAGAGCACTTAAAATCAAATCACTTCAATAATAAAAAATAAAAAATAAAACCAGTGAATCATATCAAACTTTGTCCAGCAACTCTCAAGAGGAAAAAAACAATCATGCTAAGAAAGGTAGCTTCAGAAGATGTGCATGATTACAAGATTTTGTCTGAGGAAAATGAAAATGAAACTGGAAATATACTCAAGCGGAGGGTTCAAAGAGAAAAAAAGTGAAATGGCACAGTAAAAGAAAAGAAATAAAAGGGGAAAAAATAGACTGCTATTTCAGATTACAACCTTAAAGAAACCATTAGAAAATTATATAGTTTTTTCTCCACCAATTGAGACTTCATCTTGACCTAGGAGTAGGAGCTTACAAAAAACTGTTTTCTAGAAAGCATTAATTCCACCCAAGGCAGAAAATGCAGATTCAACTAATATGTGCCATAGCAAAGAATTTATACAGTAGTGTGATGCAGAAACTCAGGTTTGAAACATAAGAATTTGGTCAAATAATAACGAAACATTTAAAAACAAAACTGAAGCATGAAAAGAATAACTAAAACAGTATATTTTTCTTTAAACAAACCTGCAAAGGTCTTTGCCGCTTCTCCTGAAACCACAATCAAAAGTGAGCAGAGGTCCTTCACATCTTGAGGTTGGAGGACATCCGCCAATGGAGATCTGCAATTACGTATTGTGCTGCTGATTAATCATGAAAGAAAACTAATAAGTTATATTAACTAAGGAAACATAACTACAAATACCTTTACCTGTAGGTGAGTTTGGAAGATCCCAAAGTCGATGCATTCTTACGAACAGAGCCTGATAACATAGGAGAAGTGGCCACAGAAGCAGTAGGTTGGTTTCCCTGGTTTAAAGTGTAGAAAAGAAATAACCACTTTCTATTCAATTGCTGAGAAGATGAAGGATATGAAAAATCAAAAGAAGCAAAGCAAAATCTTATAACAATCGATTAAACGAAATTTATGAGATAGTTTAGACATCCTTCTTTGTCTGAACGTTCGTTATAATCATAGCATGGAATAACGTTAAATCAAGTTATCTAACAAATAAATACCTGTTGACCTCTGGCTGTCGTGTGAATGGGTTGATCTTTGGCTCCAAGACCAAAAAACAATTCATGGCTTTTTCTTTTTCTGGATAACGGAGGAGTCCCATAGCCAGAAGACCCAACGGCCCCATTAATTGCTGCATTTGCTGCCTGTTGCATGTAGACTGCGGTATGCTCTTCTTGAAACAAAGCCTTTCTTTCTTCACTTCCATCAAAATTCTTGCAGTCCACGCATTTACAGTTTTCAGAGCACAGAATATTGGCTTGGAAGCACTCACAATACTTCTTCAGACACCCAGATTTCCTGCAGTTACATCCTTTGTTGTGCTTTCCAGCAGCTTGGATGTCCCCCAAGTCTTCCTGAATTTGTACATAACATGTGTAAGATGAACCAAAAGTATATACTAATACAAATTTATAGCAAATTTAAGACACATTGTTTTTAGTTGACCAACTTCAACAAACTTTGGTTGACGTGCTGAATTAGTTACATCCCATAAGTTACTATGGAAGCTCCCAAAATGGCAAAAAATGACTAATTAAGGGGGGAAAAAAGTGTAATGGTTTCTTCATGAAACGCTATAATTCTATGAATGACGTACTGTTTGCCAACAAAAGCATCCAAAATAAATAAATAAATAAATAACAACAAATTACATACTCTGCCATCCCGAGATTCACGTGGACTGCTAGAAACCTTTGGTCTGAATGCACTTGGATTACGCTCTAAGACTGCCCCAATTGCTTCCTTTCTAGCAGTCTCATTGTCCACATTATTATGGCAATTCAAGCAGTTGCAGCCATCACAATAAATTCCAGCTGCAAAGCACTCACAGTACCTAATAAAGAAAGAACCCATCAGGAAAGATATTAATCCCACAAGCATATCGCATCAGGTGAAATGTATGATAGAAAAACAATACTTTTCACATCAATTTGAGTAACTAATCTATTTCAGATGTGCATATATGAAGCATGAACTGCATTCAACTCCACTTTGTTTTAAGAGAATTGAAATGAGCCCTAAGGTGAGTAGAACAAACAATATTGAGATGCACAAAAAGTTGCAGTAGAAGGGATGACTATAAGCTTTGACAGAGAAAGAAAAAAACAAAAACAAAACAAAAAGAAGCGACAAAGAGATGGGAAAAGGGTAAGGTGTAATGTCCTATTTTCAAATTTCAAGAAAGGGAAACTTGTTCCACCATACAACTGTTTAATATCTATCAAACTACATAACAATTAAAATTAAAAAGACTAAAGGCCATGTTCAGTTCTCCGATCTGAGGTTTCAATTCAAGTTGAGACGTGATTTTTTGTGAGAGCTTTTTATTGTAACATAAAAAGTTAGATGTGACTTTTTGCGAGAGCTTTTTATTGTAGCAAGCTGGAATTGAAAACTTAAATCGGAGAACTGAACAAGGCCTAAAGTTTGGGATGAACTAGTAAACGTCTCAACTCCTCCTGCTATGAGGAGCCAAAACATCCTCCTTGTAAAGAGGCAAAGTAAGGCGACCAGTCATTTTCGATAGGAACTACGAATGGTGGCAAGAGTCCAAAATTCCCAAAATCAGAAATTAGATTTCAGGAGTCAAAGAGCCAACAAATAAAGCAGTCTTCTAACTATTCTCACAACTGAGTAAATCAACTTACAACTTCAGGCACCGGGAGTTTCGACATTTGCATTGCTTTTGTTTCTTTGGAGTTCCATCTTTTTCTTCAATCCCAGGGCGTGATTTGGGAGATTCTTGTCTGCTGAGGGACAATATATATACACACTGAGCATTAATATACATACACAAAAAATTCTCAAGTAGAAACGGAAAGAAGATTACACTGGCTACGAATTTGGGAAGGAAACGATTACCACTACTTGATCAATGACAGAAAACGATGAAAACGGCAAAGAAATCCTAATAGCTGTTCTTACTAATTCTATGTCTCACAAATACTGTTTCTTTTCACAATGCCATAGTCTTTAGACGCTAAGGAATAGTTATGTTCAAATCAGCTGAAGTTTCTATGAGCATCAACAATGGCAACGAGAATATTCGAGGAAAACTTACACCGACAATGGCGTCTGTATCGGAATCTTGTGCACCGGATGAGGAATCCTTTGGTTCATCCAAGGTTGCTGCACCGGCTTCAGCGGCGATTGGAGCTGCGTCTGTGACGACATTGGCTGTGACTTTATCTGCAATTGCGCTAGTGAGACAGTCGGCTTTTGAGGCTGCGACTGCGATGGGAGGGCTTGTGATTGTGACTGTGACGGTGACGGCTTGGGCAGTGACTGTGACTCGACCGCTACTTGAGTTTTCTCCGGTTCCGGAAACACCACGTTCGCCGACGCTCGGCACGCCGCTGCCGCCGTGAAATCCAATTGCCTCGCCAATTTCTTCGGCGCGAAATCAGGAACCGCCTCGCTCTTCTCCATGGAGAGGAAAAAAATCTCACCAATAGAAAACGCAGACCAGAGAAGAGGATTCCGAGCACATGATCAAACAATCGCGAAACGCCTTTCCCCTTCCGAGGTCTTCGCCGGAATTGACGCGCGTGACGAGAACAGGAACGGAGGAATGGTGATCCGACGCCGGAGATTCCTGGCCGCGAAGAAATTGAAGCTGATTTTCACCGCCGGAAGCTGAATGGAGATGGCAGAAGAGCTAACATAGAACGAAATCGCGAAAAGCTTCGGGTTTTGATATCTTCTCTTTCTGTCTGGACTCTTGGCTATGGAGGTTTATTTCAAATTGAAATTTATGATATTTGAACGGTTGGATAAGAGTATTATGTGATCGGACGGACAGTGTTGAAATGATTCGTGCAACGGTTGGGATTCGATGGAGGGGTATTTGTTGATTGGTGGCCGTTGGATCGTGAGGAGCTTAGGGCTTTTCTGGGAAAGTAAAAGGGAGCGGAATTTGGCGCTAAATGGAATCCGAATGATGTCGGGCTTTAATATGAGATTAACACGTGTACGGATGATATAGACTATGACTTCTCTAGACTGAGAATGGACGGCTTGAATTTGAAACTTTGAATACCTTCCTGAAAAGCACGATTAACGTGATTTGAAAAAAAATACGAATTCGTCTTGCCATGGCGGCTAAAGACAAAACCACGTCGTTTTCTGCTCTCCCCTTTTTTTTTTTCTTTTTGGGCAGGAGTTTCTTGAATCTCGAGAAGTACCGACGTTTCGTTTATTTTGTTAATTTGAGTTTAGAATTTGAGTTTTTTTACAATAAAAAACTCTCATAAATAATTATATCTAACTTTTTTACTACAGTAAAAAGCTCTCACATAAAGTCACATCTCAACTCAAATTAAAAACTCGAATCAACGAACTAAACAGGAACAATTCCTTTACTAAGATGTGCAACGCCATTGTAGAGATTTTTTCCTTTAAAAAAATTGATATGATTTTTTACTTTAAACAAAAATTCTCATTAAAAGCATTTATTTTTTTTAAGATTATTTTCATAAATACTTTTAAACTATATACTCTATTTTAAAATGTCCTTTTATTTTTCAAAATGATTCAAAACACTCTAATTTATAAAAATAATATGTCAAAATACCCTTTCCGTCCCAATATGTCTATACTTTTAACAGAAGTGCTAACATGGCAATCTTTTAACATCTATTAAACTTATTTAGTTTACTGATTTGAGTTTTTAATTTGAGTTTATATGTGACTTTATGAGAGTTTTTTACTGTAGTAAAAAAGTTAGATGTAACTGTTTATGTGAGTTTTTTACTATAGCAAAACTCAAATTTTAAACTCGAATCAGTGAAATGAACGGGACTTAAATTCTAATTAAACATATAAAAATGCTTAAATATTTAAAAAAAAACAAAAAAGAGAAAAGGAGAGTTGTCTTGTCGATTTGATATCCCATAAGAAGTTCGCCGAGATTCTCGGCGTTTTTCTTGATACCACCACTGGGCGTGTAGTAAGGGAGATTGTAGTAGCTAAATGGAAGCTCAGTTTTAATGGAGGTCAAGGAATTAACTTTGGCATTTGGAATATGTGTGCATGTAGCTTTCTGGGAGATAAAACCCACGACAAGCATGTGCAAACATGACCAAAAACACAAAAGCCCTGCGGATTGAGGGCCGTTTCGAACTAATCAACAAACATGGTGTCTTGCTTCCAAGTTCTAATAACGAGTATTTAGATGAGACTTTTCTCACTTTCCTGGTAATACTTCCACCCACGAACTAAATAGGCATAAACGTTCAGATTCAATGGAAAACAGAGAGAAAAAAGAAAAAAAGAAATCTTAAACGAATCAGTTCCCAATGATCAGGAATCCTTAGATTTATGGCCGTTGAACCTCATGCCTAGACCCATGGCCGCCAAGCACCATCGACTCACACGCCAAGCATCATCGTCGCCCGAGAAGCCCAGCATCTGTCGTCGTCGTCATGAGCCAAGCCTTGTCGTGCAAACAACCCAGCCCCCTCGCTCCTACCTTCATCGCCACACCTTCTTAAACGCAACTGCTTCCGCTAATGGGTCGAGAGTAAGAGGATGGGTTCGACAAGGATGGCTTCACCATGGGAAGGTAGAGCGTGGGTTTTGTTTGATGGGGGTTTTCCTGGTGTTTTCATTTGATTTTTCTTTTTTATAAAAAAAAAAAAAAAAAAAAAAAAAAAGCTCACTGATTTGTTCAACTTCTGGGTTTTATTAACTTTTTTTAATTTAATACCTTTTATTAACCTCTAATATTCAGGTCCCGTTCATTTCACCGATTCGAATTTTGTTACAGTAAAAATCTCTCAGAAACAGTCAATCTAACTTTTTGCTACAATAAAAGCTCTCACATAAAGTCACGTCTCAACTTAAATCAGCGAACTAAACGGATCCTCATTTATCAAAGAAAAAATCTTTAAATACTTGTCACATTAGCAATTCCGTTACTATTATAGATAAACATAAGGGGTATTTTGACATGTTTTCTATAAATCATAAAGTGTTTTGAATCATTTTAAAAAATTAAAAGGCATTTTAAAATATAGTACATAATTTAAGAAGCATTTATGAAAATAATCTTTGTTTTTATGGTCAAAATAGAGTGTGGACATTTATTATTTGGCAATATACGAAGAGGAGAAGAAACGAATATCGTATACTTTCTGAATATGTCTAAAACATTTGGTATATGAAAAAGAAACGAACATTGAAAATCTGTTGCATTTTTATAAATTGCATAGTAATAAGATCCTTTGACTTAGGTATTAGGCCTCGTTCATTTTACCGATTCGAGTTTTCAATTTTAAGTTTTTACAGTAAAAAGCTCTCAGAAAATGTCAAATCTAACTTTTTCTATTACAGTAAAAAATTCTCAAAAAATGTCACATCTTAAGTTGAATTAAAAACTCAAATTCGCGAAGTAAACAATGCCTTAGTTATTTTTATGTTATACATATATAAGTTGGCCAAAATATCATGATTGTTATCGATCTACTAGTTACGTCACATGAAAAAATCTTAAGAATACCGACTGTAAAGACATTCAAGATTATAATTAAGTATATTATGTTTTTATTTTATTATTCAAGTGAATATATATTTTTTAGTTGCATTTTCAAGTAAATACAAATTTTAAAGTCGTTGTAAATATAACCTAATCAGTTGTAAATCCACACTTGACTTTGACTCCAACTCGAAATGTAAGTTCAAATCCTTCCCTCATAAGTTTTTTAAAAATTAAATTTTTGAAAGTAGGAGAGATCACACTATTCTTCTTTGTTCTTACCTTATTATTATTGTCTTTTATATATATAAGCAAAGCAATATTCTATTAGATAGTTTTAATCATATTTACTCATCAAAATTATAAACTTATATATCAAATTATGGTATAATTCATGATAAGTATAAATTGTCACGTAAACTAGTTTTGAGTAGCTGAAAAACTAGCAATATTTATGAGATCTCTTAATTGGAAATTTGGAATTACAAACTTTCTTTTAGAATGGTCAAACCCCAATCAATAAAGATAGAAAGTATAATTTATATTTGGCATTCTGGGTAACAATATTCCAACAGAGAATGCATAATGTTTAAACAGTAATACACATTTTTTTCATGACGTACGTGACGATAGCGTTAAATCATTTACGTACAGGAAAGAAAAAAGAAGAAAGGGAAAAAAAGATCTTCCGTAGAGGGTCGAATCACATTTATCCAAATATAACAGATATTCCGAGCAATATATATATATATTACTAAAATATATAGCATTTTCCTTCCTTGTTTTTAAGGAGTGGGATGAAACTATAGAATGATAATAAAATATTAGGATAAAATTATTTTAATACTCAGTATCACAGTGAAACACGCTTTTAATATATTGTGTTCTTTATAATATTAAAAAATAATCCCTCGACAGTGTAAAAAATATTTTTTTAGTTCTTTAAAATTTATTTTTAAGATGTAAAATGACTTTAGTATTTTTTTATTTAATTAACTAAAAACTAATAAATCTAGAAACAAAATCATAAAATTTATTATTTTGTCATCTTCTTTTAAATATTTTATTGTTTTAAAATATTTTTGGATTTTTTTAAAAAATATTTATTTCTATTTAATAAGTAAGAAATATAATTAGGACATTACATGTCTTAAAAATCCGTTTTAAAGTATTAAGAAGATGTTTTTAAAAACGTTATAATACTGTTTTAATATTATCAAAAATATAAATTATTAAGATCATATTTCGCTATAATACACGTACTAAAATAATTTTATTCCAAAAATATGTATGCTTATTTATTTTTAAAGAACAAAAAACACAAATATTCACACCGACAGTCTGCAGCTATCACCAATTAGCAAATAGTACCCTAGACTAGACCTAGTCATCTCTACCACACGTACGTCGACCGTACTTAATCACAAGCCAAAAATATAGCTATCTCATGACATGCAAATAAATGTACTGCTTTTAACGCCGTACGCCATCATTTTCTATTCCCAACTATACATCACGTATAATCAGCTCATCAGAAGGAAAAAAAATGATAATAATTATAACCAGATTTGGATTTCATTTTGAGAACAGCCAGAGATTTAAGTTTTATTCAGCACTATATATATATATATATATATATATTATTAAGTTGATGTCAAAATCTACGGGGATTCCTTTCCGACCAATTATACAAATCTTCATCAAAATGTATATAAACACGAGTACTTCAGGTTCATATGGGAAACTGAAACTATATATAGAAAAGCAACAATTATATCTTAAGCGAGGTTGGAATTTATATATATGTAATTATGTATATATATGATAGGATTATTGTATTTAAGTGGGTTATAGCCGTGAAGAGTTATCCTTCTATAATTAAGTCGGAAAATATATATTACTCTAGATGAGTTGTTTTTCCCTTTAAAGAAGTTATTAGCTAAAAGGATTGTTTTAACCCCAATTTTTTTATTTGTAATGTATCGCAATCATTTTAATTAACTTGGCACGTTCAATTGGGGCTATAATATAATTTCTAGAAATCTTCAAATCCCTGCTACTATCTTGAATAAGTTAATATTTTTAGAAACGGGTTTTAGTG